CAGCAGAATATAAAAATGTTTCTTGAATCAAAGTATGTATAAATATCATGCTGTAATTTTTCCTTCTTTTGAATCAGACTCTTAAGATAAGTTCCCCAAAGGGGCATAACTGATGCCTTAGAATAATGAATGTAAAGTTCAAAGTGTTGTGCAAAAGGAACTTGATCCACACAAAACTCTAGGGCAAGTAGGACTAATAGGGTGATTTTCCTCCCATGCAGTGATTTTTCCCAAGATCTCAAAGCCACTAAAGGACAGCTTATTCAGGAATTCTTTTCATCTGCTTGTCTTATTTGATGATTATACTACATTTGGTTTTGTGTAAACTATGTTGCCCTTTAATGTCAAGTGGTTGTCTTTTTAAATCTTGCTATTCTGATAAAAGTTTATATCAAGTATCATATATATATATATATACACACACACACACACATTGAATAATAATCTGGTGGAGTTCGTATCTTAGTAAAGAAAAAAAAAGTACTCACATCTCTGGGCCTGTCTTTTCTGCATCTACTAAATGGTCAATAGAAGAGTCCTGTCTAGGATTTTTTTTTTTTTGTCCAGAAAACAGATAAGAAAAACACATTTCTCCTCTTCCCAACTTCAGCTTCATTACATTCATATTTTGTGCAATTACTGCTGGGGCTGAAGAGGGTGAATGGAAAAACAGTAAGCTCCGACTCTACAGCTGCTTAGTTTGCCTCACTTGATGACTTGGAAGCTCTTTAACCATTTAGAGAAAATGAAAGAGAAAGTGATCTGCTAAATGTTTCCTCCAAATGTATTGGTGAACTCAGGTTGGACCTATAGGAAGAAGAGGGTATCGCTGAACACAGAGAAATACCTTGGTTATGATGGATGGGGTTTCAAGTGTTGGTCCACTCCCCCCCACCACCACCAGTCCTAACTCTGAGACTCTCAAGTGATGCTATCTAGATGATGTCTTTTCAAACAATCAGCCCCGAGGAGACATTTGTCCTATGGAAGCAATATGAGGACTACACACTGTCTGGAGCCCTGGCCTCCAGTCCCGGCTCTGAAGGGCTGGGCCACATTCCTCTACCTATACAATGAAGCCAGGGGATAACATGCTTTCCACTGCCCTTCTGCAATTCTGAAGTTCTATCACTCCATGGAAGGTGGAGCTGGTTTCTAGATGAACAATACTAAGCAGGAGCCCTGTTAGTTTCTCTTGGCCTGAGTTCCTGCCTCCTGGACAGAAGCTGGAAAGAAACAGGCATTTGGACCCCTAGTTTGGGTCACAGAATTTCAGAGTTGTGGGTGGCTGGCAGGAAACCTCAGTGATAATCAAGACCCACATCCTCCCTCCCTCATCCAACACAAGTTTATTGAGCAGCTATGTTGAATAGAATATGGGCAGTGATGCAGGCTGTCATGTTCACTGATTTATTCACAGCACCTAGCAGTGTGTCACATACCATAGCAGGTGCTCACCAAACATCTGGTGGATGATGGGCAGTCTCCTACAGTAGTCATTTCGGGGAGCCTGTTAAATCAAGGCACACCTCAGGCCTACAGAAATGAAATCTCTAGTGGCAGGGCCCCAGTAACTGTCATGCTCTCCAGAGCTTGAGAACCACAGCTGTAGTGTCTGAATCAAGCATTCTCCTATTATCAGAAGGAAGAAAATGCTGATGTATTCACTTTGGAGCATTTGTCACTAGAGAATAAATAGTCAAGTCAAATATCATAGGTTCATTTTACAGTAGCCATCACTGTCCACTGGGTATGCTCAGGGCTCACTTTCACTACTCTCAGGGTTGGCAAGGCCAATAAAAAGGCAGAGAAGGTAGAAGGGGAGCCACATGAAGTCTGAGTTTGGCATTATTGCCCGTCACTGGGAAGTCATAAAATAGAAATGTGCCCACCATTCCAGTTTCCCGTAGTTAGCTGCTGGGAAGTGTGTCTCTTCCTTTTCAAGGGTCTGTGGCTTGGTCCAGACACAGACCTGTCTTCAGATCTCAGCTATGTCTCTAGTGCTTGGTCTGGAGCTAATCACTTTAACCCCTTTTAATCTTTAGTTTCTTCAGTCATAAAATGGACATTACGGTTCACACTACTGAGGGATGTTAGGAGGATTAGAGATGATACAAACTCAGGTGTCTGGCACATGCTCAGTACAGAAAAGCTGTGCTGTTTTGGCTGAGACCTATAAAATGTTAGCACATCTGGGCCAGGGGATTCTGCAGAGCTTCCTGCAGCCTCTCTCTTTCACAGCCCTGGGAGAAGAGTCAGAGAGGGCAGACATGAAGCACGAGATCATCTAGCACCTGAGGTTTCTTGAGGGTTTTTTATTTCAATGGAGATTTCCAGATTCCTTTGTGGAGTACAGAGGTGATGTGGCTGAGACTGGATGGCCTGTGAAGAAGGAACTCATGGGACAAGATGCTTTTAGAAAGGAAGCTAGATCGCTCAGGGGAGGCACCTTCTCACCTATCTTGTCAGCCAAAAGCCTGTTCTGAGCACACGGATTGGTGAGAAAGTCCCAGAGGCTGAACAATTTGTGGCTTTTCTATCAACTCTGGAGTGTTAAAGACAAAACAAAGCAAAAAAGCCTCTGGGAAAGTACCATTGGGGTCTTCTGCGGCAAGGTACCAAATGGTCCCACAGCTTTGCAAGGCCATAGCTAGAGATGATTGGCCAAGGGGGTCATCCGATCTTGGCCTTTGGGCTACAAAGAGCACAACCCCAGTGATGAGGTAAGCTGAATAAGGACACCTCTGGAAAGTGTCCCACAGGACTCTGACTCTGGTGTCCAGCAGCAGCAGCCAAACACCGGACCTTGGGAGAGTTCAAGTGCTTGGTGCTAATGGTGATAATATTGGTAGTGATGATGATAGTGGTGATGGGCACTTCCTATCTGCCAGATACAGAGAGAAACAATGTATTTTACATGCATTGTTTCATTCAGTCCTTATAAAATCCTTATGTGGAGCAGCACCATTGAGATCACCATTTTAGAGATGAGGAAACCAAGACTCAAAAAGTAAATGTCCCTTTTGCTTTTAAGTAAAATAATAAGCCTGTTGCTAGTTCATACCAGGAGTCACATCAAAATGTACCAGAATCCAAGGTAAGCCAGCAGTGTGTAAGTGCTGGCCAGTGCCTTTAAGGGAAATTTACTTGATCCCCAGTTTTACAGATGAGGAAAGGACCAGACAGCTTAGCATCCCCCACTGATGTCAGACACTATGCCAAGCACTTTACATATATTATCTCTTTATCATCATATCATTCCCATGAAGTAATTTTGTGATCTCCACTTGTACAGATGAGGAAACCAGGGCCTAAGACTAAATGACTTGCTGGAGTTCAAAACCACACAGCATGACTCCAATCCTGAATCTCCTGAGTTGCCAATCCTGGAACAACACATGGCAGGGGCTGGACCAGAACCCAGGGCTCCTGATTGCCTGCCCAGTGCTCTGAGGCTAGATGTAGGCTCTCTGCTGGCATGCATTGTTCCTTAAAAGCGTACTGGCCTTAAGCCCAAAGAATGAAATCACACCCTGCGGTTCTGGGAACCTCAGACAGAAGGAGAAGGAAGCTCTTGCTCTGCTGTTCAAGTCTGAGCAGGTGTGGTGGGGACTCTGCTTCCTCCTGTGGCTAGAAAGGAGGCCTTGCTAGCCAGGCAGGATGAGGCAGCCCTTAGGAGTGTAGGGTGGGAGGAGGGTAGCAGGCAGGCGTGCCCAATAAAACGGTCTAAATCTTCCCGCCTTCATGCTTTCATCCAGGCAGTACCCTCATCTCCTGCTTGGCAAACAGCAGGGCACAATCACGAGAGCTTGAGGCTGTAGTCTGGAGGCCCAAGTTTTGACTCTGATTCAGAATGCATCATGACCATCTTTTTCTTCATGTGCACACTGCGTGTGGTGGTGGTGGTGGTGGTTATCAAAATCTTCCAGCTTTTCCAGTTAACACACTGTTTATTACACAACTGTTATGAACTGGAGGTATAGCAAATACAAAAGCAGATGTAAGAGCTTGGTGTGCTGGTGCCCACCTATAATCCTGCTATTCTGGGAGGCCAAAGCAGGAGGATTGCAAGTTTGAGTCCAGCCTGGTCAACTTAGCGAGATCGTGTCTCAAAATAAAAAAATTTAAAAAGGGCTAAGAATGTAGCTCAGTGCAAAGGCCCTGGGTTCAATTCCCGGTACTGAAAAACCATCAACAAACAACAAAACCAAGGACAGGTAGGCCAAGCTTACATGGGTCTTAGAGTCTAGTAAAGAGATTCTCCAATCCTCATGGAAACAAAGGTGGAATGGCAACAAACCAGCTTTCAAAGCAAAAGTGTACAGAACCTAGTGAGCTCATTATGGTGGGGAGGTGAGGAGAAAGAGTGACTGATGGTCCAAGGCTGGTGGGAAAGGGGCCCCGGGGAGGCTGTTCCTCGGTGAAAGGCTGCTGGTGTAGAGGACCCTCGTGGATGGTTCACCCCAGGAACTCACAGAGGGCCAGTGGGCCTAGGAGCCTGGTTAATTCAAGAAGTAGACTGTGTAAGAGAAATCGTTGAAGTTTTCTTTTTCCGGGGAGGTTACTGGGACACTGGGAGGCAGTGATATGGTCAGTTATAACAGAATACATTCTCTGAAGTATGGGCAACGTAACCTTCAAAGAAAAAAATAAAAGCCACTTCCTTCGAGGAGCCTTCCTCGATTTCTCCACCTATGGCCTGTGATATTTCTCCCTGCCTCTCTGGCCTTGAAGAGGTAGGTAGAGAAACTCAGGCCTCTGGAGCTTTCTCTTTCTGCTACTGAAAGTGCACGTGGCTTCAAACAAGGTTCTTGACACCGCCCCCCCC